TGCATTCCCACTTACAACAGGGAGCTACAAAGGAGTGCAGTGCCAGCACTTCAAACAATGGCTTAACCTGATGAACCACAGTTTCAGCCTGAAAGTCTTACAAAATTCTTAACAATTTAGATCTTACACAGCAAGAGAGTGACCGTGAAAGCCAAAGTGAGGCAGATGAGATTTCTGGTAGGAAAATTATGTTTAGGTATGTGGCTGGAAACAAACTGCCCTCATGCTCGGTGCTCACTCCACCACGTCCACCCATGGGTTTTAGTGCTATGGTTTTTGACTTCAGTATACATCTGAGACTCTAATCTTTGTTTCTTTGGAGCCAAACATAAAAATGTCTAGTGATGTAAGCATGGTGGTGATGATTGCTTTCTTATGTTTATAAAAGGTAGACAACTGCTATCATGTGTTATATTTTCCTTAATTTCCCATGAGCAAGTAATACTTTATTTGTGTATTTTTGTGCTTAAGAGTTCAATTTGGCAATAATGATCAGATTCCAGTGTGTATTACATACCTAATGAAGAAACCTGCACTTTTCTAACAACCTTTATTTTCTTTTATTGCTAAAAATTGGGGGAAAAAATTTGTGATTGCAGGCATTGAAACAATGTATTTCGGATGGGCTCTGTTGGCTTAAACAACAAAAGAATTTGATCAATGATTTTTACTAGATAATGTCATTTCATGAGAGAATCTTTGTTTGATTAATATTTATGTTTATAACCTTGGAGAATTATTTAAATTCCTTGTCTGCAAAATGGAAGCTATATGTAATGTACTGATTAGAGGATTAAATGATCATTGTAGTTAGCACCTACATGGTGCATGGTAAATCAAAGCATATTAATTATTGGTTATTATTATTATTTGTTTTATACAACTGCTCCCTCCTTGACCTAGCCAGTTCCAACTTTAAAAAATGATGTGTTTTTCTGTTTTCCTAGAAAATATAAGGCAACATATAAAACTTAATTTAATCAACTGTATCTTTGATTTTTTTTAAAGATTTTTTAAAGATTTTTATTGGAAAGGCAGGTATGCAGAGAGGAGAGACAGAGAGGAAGATCTTTCACCCGATGGTTCACTCCCCGAGTGGCCTCAACAGTTGGAGCTGAGCCAATCCGAAGCCAGGAGCCTTGTCTGGGTCTCCCACAGGGGTGCAGGGTCCCAAGGCCTTGGGCCATCCTCCGCTGTTTTTCCAGGCCACAGGTAGGAATCTGGATGGGAAGTGGAACAGCCAGGGTTAGAACCAGTGCCCAAATGGGATCCCGGCGCATTCAAGGTGAGGACCTTAACCGCTACGCTATCGCGCCGGGCCCTGATATTTAATTAAAATAGAAACATAATTGTGAGTTTCAAGTAATAACCTGCTCATCTTTTGTTAATCTTAACTTCCTTTCTTTTAACCCATTTACCTTATTCAGTGTCACTTGTTTGATGATTAAGTTAAGCCTCAAAATAGAACCAATATACTGAAAACAGAATTACTGCTTTTGTGTCAAATGCTGTTGCTTGTTTTTTTTCACAGCATGCCAAGGAGGAGCTAGTGACTAAACATGCAATGTAACATTTTTCTGAACTCGTGTGGCATCACCACATGGTAAGTGATAATATGTGTACTTTCCATGTTAATCTGTTCCACTCCTGAAACCAGCATTGTGATGGTTTCATCTTAGGCACATTTCTGTTGACCACATTTTCTACTCGCCTAGGAGGGAAATGATGGCTGCTAAGGATTGATGTGTGGAGAAATTGAATTTAAACAGTGTTCATTTGTTTTGTTTAATGCACTTACTATATTTAATGAGACAAAGAACATCATCTTGTAAATGGAAAGACACAAGAAAGGATACACAGAAGCAAGGATCGTGTTATTTTAAAGTGATAGCAGTTTAAATTCGAATTTGATTTGATTTGGTACATGTATCTTAAATGACTCTTGGTTGATTATATATATCCTACAAATACACACTCACATCCCTACTATACATATTACTATATATAGATATATTAAATATGCATCACGTACAAACTATATATATCCTACATATGTACACATATATATCCCTAGTATATATACTACTGTGTATATACTCTATATATTATATACATCCCTACTCTATATATTACATAATACATATATATGTTATATTATATACCATGTTATATTATATGTATATATATTCCTGAAAAAATATATATTCTGGGAATATTTTATTTTATTCTTCATGTCTCTGAACTTTACAATATGACTATTATTATTAGTGATAGCTGCCTTTTTCACTAAAAATTCTGAAAATCATTGTCTTAACTTTTATCTCTCTTTGAAAAGCAGAGTCCCTGAGATACAGGAGAGAGAAATAGAATGTGACAGTGGAGGAGGAGGAGGAGGAGAAAGGCATAGAAGAAAGAATCGTTCTTCATCAGCTTTTGCTTCCCCAATGCCTGTAACAGCCAGGCAGAAGCCAGCAACGCAGATGCTAATGCGCAAGTCCCACATGACAGGCAAGGACTTCACCTGCAGCCTCCCGCTGTGTGTCAGTAGGAAGCTGGCTCACAAGCAGAGCTGAGACTCACACCCAGAACTCACCTCTGAGCCACTGCTTCACATGCTTGTGCCACACGTTGTTTTGTTTGTCTCATGAGCAGACCATGAAATGGAAATCGGAATGTAAGTAGTTTCTATGAAACGTTTTGAGAACACCAGTAGCTAAATGTGGAAGTATTCCCAGCTGTTGGAAAATTCGGCAGGAAAATGCTGGGAAATGTTGCAAAAATACTTTCATTGGAAGAAAGGTTCAGGAATAGTCACAGAGTCTCAGGAGGAGCTGTCCAGGGCTCCTTGGAGAGCAGCTGTGCGCCCTCTGTCCTTGCAGCCTGTCCAGACTGCCCCTGCAGGTCTGGGGATTACAGACAAGCCTCAGGCCCAGAAGAGAAAACAGTGGCAGCCAGAAAGTGCCTGATACTAAGACCCTGGGAGGCAGAGAGAACCTCCTGGGAAGGACTTCAAGGCACAAGTGATGGAGTTTACTTCTCCTCAAAACAGCCCAGTGCTGTGACTATATATATATATATATATATATAAAGATTGGAAAATAGACTCTATTTCTTACTAGATAAATGTCTAATCACTTCCCGAGTGTCCTTTGTCTCACATGCAATATGGATCTATTAATTATATTTACATGTTGAATTATTTATTATGCAAGATTTCCTCTCTAGCTGTGTTCACTTGCTGTTGGAAACCAGGTTTCCTTCTTTGCCATACCATGTGGTTCTGTGAGCTTCTTCTGAGCTGTAGCCATCAGAATGCCAGAGAAGTGACTTGTGTCGTTCTTAAGCATGGACCATAGACCCTCTAAAACTGCGTACCTATTCCAGCTGGCTAAAGGGGACATGATCCCTAAGAAGGATTTGGGAGTTAATAACAACGGAAGCTTCTTTATCATGGGGTTAAAAAATGTATGCTGGTGGACCTCATTACTAATATTGTCTGACAAACACTGTTAGGCAAGCAGCAAAAGACTACGCCTTTAACACATGGATTATTTATTAGAATAGCTGATTTTAACCCAAATAAACCACTCTTTGCCATTTTCAGGTTCATGATTAAGAAGATTCTCAACTAAACTCTACTACAGGGTCTCAACTTACTAACATTTTAACTAAATATCATTGCAATGAATTATGAAAAGTGCTTATTGGATATCAACTTTAAATTTACTTAAATACATAAAGGTTTATATAGATAATCAAAAAGTGTTAGCATTTAGCATAGACATCACATATAAAAAGAATATATGCAGTGAGAATCAAGATGGTAGAATAGGGAGACACAGCTCACCAACAAAGAGCAGCGGAAACTATCTCATGGATTTTGATGTTTTTGTTTTTAGTTTCATCTCTTCAAAAACAGTTTATTTTCTCATATTAAATTCTTCACTGACTCACAGGTCACACAGTAGCATCATTTTCTTCAAGAAGGTTCTTGATTTATTTTCTTTTTCATTTCTTTAGCATCACATTAGTCATTCAGTAACACACTTTTTAACTTCATTGCATTGTAAATTTGTATTTTTCTTCCTGTTGTTGATTTTATTTTGTGGTTTTTCATTTAAGAGAATGTAACATAACTGTGTAATGAAGACTATCTTATCCAGATGTGAGGATGCAATGAAGTATGCATCTGAACTTCCAGGTCAAAGATGGATTCCCAGTGAAACTCAAATTTATCTCGACAATAGGATGCTGCACTCTCTACCATTGTCCATGCCCGCAATGATGGACTTCTGTTTGTGAAGAAGTATATTATTGTAATAAAATAAGGGAAATCAGTGTGTGGGGGAGAGGATTTAGGAAGGGAGTCAGAGAAATCCCATGCTATTTCTATGGAAAGCCTATGGAAATATATAATAAAATAAAATAATAATAATAAAAATGGAAAAATGTATGCAGCTAAAGCTAGACATTAAAGCATCCTTATAAAATGCATCTCAATCATTTACTGCAATCTGCTTCTCAAGTCCGGAACTATAGAAGATAGTTCTAGAAAATGAGTTAATCTGTTCTGGAATCCTCCACCACCATCGTCCCAAATCAGTCACGCAGTCCCATTCCCTTCCTGGTGGCTGATTAAGAAAAACACAGGGGACGTATTTGTAGCCAACTGTACCCCAAGGCATTTGTGGGCCAAATGGGGCCTAAATTCCTATTCTAGGGACTGGCACTATGGCACAGTATGCTTAGTCTGCATTTTGTGCCAGCATCCCTGCTTGCTCCACTTTTGTTCCGGCTCCCTTCTTGTGGCCTGGGAAGTCTTAGGGTGGTCCAAGTCTTGGGACCCTGCACTCATGTAGGAAACCCAGAGGAGCCTCCAGGTTCCTGGCACTGGACTGGGTTAGCTCCGGTTGTTGTGGCCCTTTAGGGAGTGAACCAACAAATGAAAGATCAGTCTCTGTCCTTTGTTTTTTCTTTACAACTCTGCCTTTCAAATAAAAAATAAAAACCTGAAATTCTTATTCCAGGTCTTTGAGGACTGATCCTAAGCATAAGCAGTATGCCGTGCTCAGGGTGACAATGGCTATCTAAAAGGTGAGAAAAGCACGCTCACGCGGGGGCACAGTTCAGGATTGGAGTGGGAGGACAGGATTGCACAGGGCAGGTGCGTGGCTTCCAGCTCCGGGACGAGCATGGTTGCAGGGCGGACATTCAGAACACAAACACACAGAAAGGGGCTCGGCTGCACCTGCTGTTGTTGTGGGGTATTTAGGCGCTGGCATCTTTCTTGTGACTGTGAAACACTGAGCTCAGGGCCAAGCAGCCAATTTGGAAAAGTGAAGAAAATCCAGGCCCTTGGCGATGGACTCAAGCTGTGTTGCCTCATACAGCCTGGAGCTGCTCTGTACTTCTGGTTCTGTGGCCAGAGCACGCATTTCTCACTGTTTAACCCAGTAAGGGTTTCACTTCCTGTTACTATTACCTGTGTGCATCCTAAATCTTCCACCGTCTTCAACAGATTCAAGAAGAACATTCGGGAACAATTAGAATCCAGACAAGTTTCCTAAAATTTTTCAAACTGCTGGTTTATTCTACATTTGCTAGTAATCAATACAGAGGGATAAAAATCTTTAAAACATGGTATGCTTGAGAAAATAGTGGTTTTATGTTTTTGTTTCTTTAACTGATGGGTGGTGGTGAAGAAGTTGGTCGACAGGGAAAGAATCAACAAGCACGGACATGCTGATCAAACGAGATATTGAGTGATGGGTTTGGGATATGTTTCTATGTCACCATTCTCCAAGATGAACTGACAAGCCTGGAGTTTCTGACAACCAAATCAAGCTGGCCGTCTTGATATAGAGGTGGCTACTAAGGCTCAATTCGCAGGGAAATGCCCAATGTCTAACATTGTCTAGCAGATCTTTCCAGAACTGGCTTTTAAACAAATCAGCTGTTGCTCAGACCTCAGTGTAAGTTGGGAACAAAGCACACAACGCACACACAGTAATTGCTCTGGGTGTGAATGCATGTGCTGCTTGTTGCTACAGATGATATTTCTGATAAATGCTTATTGTTTTTTGCAGATAGATGATAAAAGAATAGTCATGTAGATTTTATAAGGTATACTTTCTCAACAATGATGCAGTATATTTAAACAGATTAAAAATCATTTTTTAATTTAGTACACTTAAGTAATTATTTCAAAACATTAAACCTGTACGTGCATAGAAGTGGTTTAAATTTAATCGTTTGGAGAAGATAGAGCAGCAGCATCTGAGTGTGGCTGCTGGTTTGAACCCTGAGAATGGGTTGTATTGACAAGCGTGAGGTCAATGAGTGAGCAGGCAAGAGGGCGGTTTCAGCAGTTTCACTGAAAAACAGATAAAAACTGCGGAACCTGCCAGACCAGGCAGGCCTCTTAGAAGCCAAATTAAGACAACTAATCAGAGTGTTTCCTTTGGATTAAGTTAATAATTGCTGTAAGTTATGAAAATTATCAGTTGGAAATTATTATGGTTTATTTTAGAGATTCAGAATTTTGCAAGCATGAAGTAGAATCTAGAAGACCATGACAGTCACCTATGGTTTGCCAAGCTCCTTCACTGTAGCAGAAACTTGGAGCTGTTTGGAGAAGACCATTTTTAAATTGTATTTCCACTCTGTTAACTCCTTCTCCATTTCAGGTGTTTTTCATAGATATCCCTCTCAATTATTGTTTTTTAGCCGCTACTTAATTCCCATCACAAAATGTGTGATTTATTTACTCTGCCTATGCTTTGTTTCAGAAAGAAGCTCTCCTTAGCACATCCCACAGATGCATTTATCACCTTTGAAGAGAAGGGATAATGAAATGACAGGTGAGATCCATCAAGTGAAATTCACTTGTTAATACAGCCGTCTAGTTGATTGCATAAAATAACCAGTCAATCTTCAATCAATTTTAGACAAGAACTTTATCAGTCTAATACTAAATGCAAAGAGAAATACAACCAAATCACTCTACTCATTTCTTAACCTCACAAAGTTTTCTCTCTTTCTGGATAGTAAGAAAAAAATAACTTCTAGCTGACAAACATGGACACCAAGTGTGAAAACAATACATAATTTTTAAAAACAATTTATATGTTACAACACATGTTGCATTATTTTAATTTAGAATAATCGTTGGGGTCAGCATTTTGGCATAGAGGGTAAAACCACCTGTGGGGCCCATGTCCTCTATGGGTGCTAGTTTGTGGTTCCTGATAATTGGCTGGGAAAAGCAGTGAAAGGTGATCCAAGCACTTGGGCCGCTCTTACCCAGGAGGGAGATCTGGAAGAAGCTCCGGGTGTAGTTCTGGCTTTTACAACCATCTGGAAAGTGTATCAGCAGATGAAACATTCCTCTCTCTGTTTCTCCCTCTTTGGCTTTCAAACAACTAAACAAGTCTTTTCAATAATAGAACACGTGTCAACTTGGAAGATACATGAAACTGTCATGTACTTTTTCAAGTAAAGAAACTGAGGTTAAGTAAATTAAGTGATGCTCCTAGTGTCATTAGGGGCAGAGACCAACTCAGCCAGAACTTGAGTCCATGTCATGTCATGGTTTTCTCAATGTACATTGCTGAAAAACACAGGTGGGTTTATAATAGTTGACATAGGTTGTCCATGATGGACATTAGCTGATTTGAGGATTTAAATGGGCATTGATAACAGTGGGAAATCTAGGGCAAGTCAATAGAATTAAGACAGATGATGAATCAATGAGTTGCCAATAAGAACTACATTAGTCTGTATAGTCGGAGGGGTTGAAGACAGAGAGGAATGGGAAGCAATACTGTATTGTAGAAACAGCACTCAATATCTGTTGTTGATTTGCAGTTTCAGTTTATAATACTATGGCATTTACTGTTTCTGAATTTCTGAGACATATTGATATGCAGCCTGGGTGTATATATTGGCAAATAGTGCTGAAAAATGCTAAAGGCATCATGATTCATAGCTAATACATTTCTGGAAGAGTGTACTTACAAAAAAACCTGCAAAAACCTAATGCCTATGTTCTACATGGAGGATTTTATTCTTTCTTTATTTGGAAGTGAAGAATGATCAGCTCAAGTGATCCAGAGACCATAATGTGATGTATGTGGCACGGAATCTGCAGAATCATCAGTGGATCAGTGATTTACTGAAAAAATCTGAATTGTCAGGAAGTTCACTTTTGAAAGTTGAGTTCCCTGGAGAGACTGCACCAGTTTCGCATGAGTTATAATAAATCTGAATTATGAGAAAGTAATGGTGATTTAATTCACAGAATACTATTTATTCCCAAGCTTTCCATTTGGTTGAAATATTAAAACTCTGAACAAAACCCTCAAACTAATATTGTGCAGGGACATTCTACCAGATCCTTATTTCTCCTCCTTCATGATGGATGGAAGTAACCAGCAGTAATAAAATATGTTGGACATGAAGTCACTCATCAAAGGTGTTACAGCCAAGAGATTACAAATTGCTGTAAAGCACAGCAAACTCAATGTGTTAAAAGTGAGACAGTGTTAGCCTTGCAGGCAGTATATGATCTGTTAAATTAGAATATATTTCATTCTTTAAGAGAGAACAAACTGGGTTTCAGTGATAGAATTCAGTGAGAATCAAAGTAATATGAAAAGCAGGTGCAGGATATGTGTGTGTGCTTGTCTTCTTTTTTTTTTTTTAAGGTTATTTTTATTGGAAAGGTAGATCAAACTTACAGAGAGAAGGAGGGACAGAGAGAAAGCTATTCCATTTGTTGGTTAACTAACCAAGAGGCCACACTACCAGAGCTAAGATGGTCAGGAGCCAGAAGCCAGGAGCTTCTTCCGGGTCTCCCATTCAGGTGCAGGATCCCAAGGCTTTGGACAATCCTCTACTGCTTTCCTAGGCCATAAGCACGGAGCTGGATGGGAAGTGGAGCAGCCAGGACATGAACTGGAACCCGTATGGGATCACGGCATTTGCTACATAAAGATCTGGTTGTTGAGTCATTGCACCAGGCCCATGTCTGTCTTTTGTCTTTCTGTGTGTCTCTGTGACTATACCCATCATAAAGCAAAGAGTGTTGGTAGAGAAAAAGTATTTTATTTTAAAAAAATATTTATTTATTTTGAAGTGAAGAATTACGGGTTGAGACAGAGAAGGGCGAGGAAGAGGGGGAGGAGAGACATAGAGCGAGAGGGGGGGGAAGAAATACCTTCCATTGTAAGGTTCACTCCACAAAAGGTTAAAATGGGTCAAGCTGAGCCGAACCAGAGTCATGAGCTTTTAGTGGTCCTCCACATGGATGCAAGGGCCCAAGCAGTTGAGTCAGTTCTCCCACCAAGGTACATGGACTGCAAGAATTGGACTTTTCTCCACTTTTCCAGACAAACTGGCAGGTCACTGTATCAGAGGTGGGGCAGCTAGGACTGAACAGAAATGCCAGCACCTTAAGTGGTGGCTTACCCTAATTTATCACAGTGTCAGCCCCCAAAGTGTAATTTTGGAAGTCCATTGTAAGGTGAGTAGTTTCAATTTAATTTAAGTAGGTTTATACATTATTCATTTTACAGTAAACACTCTTTTGTAGTTAGAATTTAAAAAAATGATGTAGATACTGGAAGTCCTCTGTTTTGAAGATGGTGATAAATGTATAAATAGAAAATGACAATAACATGTGGTCAATACCGTGTGTCAATTTATTTGTTGTTGCTATATGAAAATATCAGAGGGCCTGGCATTGTGATGCATGGGTTAGATTGCTGTTCGCAATTTTGGCATTCCATTAGGGTCTGGTTCCAGGCTTAGATGCTCTGCTTTCATACCATGTCCCTGGTAACGCACCTGGGAAAGCAGCCAGTGATGGCCCAGGTCCTTGCGTGCCTGCACTCAGTGTGGGGCCTTGCTGGATGTCCTTGCTCTTGCGTTTGGCTATAGTAGTCCCAGCCACTGTGGCCATTTGAGGAGTGAACTAGAAGACAGAAGATCTCTCTCTGTCTCTTCCCTACCCCCCTCTGTAACTCTGCTTTTCAAACAATAAATAAATAAATAAATAATTCTTTAAAAATTGGAAATCTCTGAGATTGAATAACTCATATAAATAAAAATACTCTTGTTATGGTTCTGGAGGCTTGAGGGAGAGGCGTGCTTCTGGTTGTGGCTTTCTTGCTGTCGTCTCAAGAACAGAGGGTCAGCATGGGAGGAAGCAAGGGAGGCAGAGACCGGGAAACAATGACAAACACAGACAGATGTACCGATGAGAAATGAAAGGGTGAGGCGGAGGGAGAGAAGCACAGAGAGGGACACTGAGAAGATGGAGGAGCCCACGCCCAGGTAAGGGCCCTGATCCCTTCACAGGGCGGAGGCCTCAGGATCCCCTCCTTCCGGCCTCTTCTGCCAGGTCTTCTGAACTGGTGATTCTCTGCATTTAACCCCAGAGGGCTGTAAGCTGAGTCTGCATTCAGCTATGGAAGTGCAGACACAGCCTGCAGTGCGGGCCTTTCTGGGAGCTGGGGCCAGGTAGGGCCTCTGCTGGCTGCTGCTGATGGGTGCTCTGTCAGTGGTCTCTCTGAATTCCTAACTTAGAGACGAGACTTCTAAAATTATACCTCAGTGATGAATAATATGGAGAGTAATAAAAATTTGTCACAAAGACTGGAATAAATTATGAGAAAGGTACATTTATAAATGATGTATCCAGATTTAAGAAAAGGTTTACAAATGAGCACTTGATTGCTTGTATAGCACAGAGTAGTGAGATTATTAAAAAGAAGCGTTTTTGAAAGCAAGACTGATCCACTATTACCCCCTTTGTGTCATTTTCTACGTTCAAGTATTTCAGGGGATTTTTTTTTTTTTGCTGGATTATATGGTACTATTTTTTTTTAGTTACACTTTCTGCAGATTTTTCCATTTATACATTGTATAGCAGATTATTCTTCTGGTATTGAAATGGTATAAATGGAACTTCCTCAGTCTGTTGTAGAGTAAAGGAAAATTTTGTAAAATCCCCTCCTTGGATAAATCCTAAGTAATGCTTAGTTTATCACGTTTTTTGTCTTTATCTAGGAGCCTGACTTCATAAGAATAGAAGATTGTCATTTCATAGCTCAGTTAATAAATATACCATTTAATTTTAGTCTTTTGTTGATGAAAATGATCATTATTTGATTGCTCTGGCATTGTTGTTAAACCCTAAAAATGTTCATTGTAATAATTTTCTTCTCTTTCTCCATTTAATTAGCTCAGTCTTATCATTTGCCATGCAATTTGTTCCCACTTGAAAGTTTCGGATCAGCTCTTGATATCCAAATAATTAAAAACCAGAGCTGCAGCTATGTGATTTTCAAGAAGAAACACAGTCTGGTGTGCTAAAGAAGTTTTCCGCCACTGTTTATACTCATTTTAAAACTGGAATCCTGGCAGCAAATACCACCACAATCCGAGAGCAGTGACCTATTGGGATGGCCAGAAGGGCAGCCAATTGACAACAATGAGCATAATCAATGGTGTGGGAGTCAGTGACGTGACATGAATTATTTAGTTTTAGATTTCTTCCTTTGAAAACAAAATTTGGTGGTTGAGCAAACACATGTTCTCATTACATGCTGTCACTCAACTCCGACCGCACATTATTGGGTGGTTATTTGGAGAAAGATTATATCTGGAGGAACCAGTGCAAACTCTGCGAGTCTCCGATAAAACCCCAGAGAACCTTTGAAGAGCAGGTTTCCAGGGATGCATCAGCCCTTTGGCTTCTCAGTGAAGTGCATTATTTGTTAAGGCACGCTGAGTAGCATCTCTTAAATAAAACGGAAGTTGCTCATCTCAGATCCTCTTAGAAGAGCAGTCAGATCAA